TGTTCACATGTAAACAGTAGCTCATGTAAAGAGATTGTCCAGTCAACTGATGGTAGCGGTGACTGTCCAGGCGACACACGTACTTAGGTATCGTCATGAGCTAATTTTTACATGTAAACAGCAGCTCATGTAAAGAGATTGTCCAGTCAACTGATGGTAGCGGTGACTGTCCAGGCGACACACGTACTTAGGTATCGTCATGAGCTAATGTTCACATGTAAACAGCAGCTCATGTAAAGAGATTGTCCAGTCAACTGATGGTAGCGGTGACTGTCCAGGCGACACACGTACTTAGGTATCGTCATGAGCTAATGTTCACATGTAAACAGCAGCTCATGTAAAGAGATTATCCAGTCAACTGATGGTAGCGATGACTGTCCAGGCGACACACGTACTTAGGTATCGTCATAAGCTAATGTTCACATGTAAACAGCAGCTCATGTAAAGAGATTTTCCAGTCAACTGATGGTAGCGGTGACTGTCCAGGCGACACACGTACTTAGGTATCGTCATGAGCTAATGTTCACATGTAAACATCAGCTCATGTAGTGTAGAAGTATCAACGATCTTTTGAGGGTTTTAAGATCATATCTTAACCTTGAGTTAATCGGTTATTGTAAGTGCGTTCACCGATTAGGTAAGGTTTATTTATTTGACACATTTATCTTATGCTGGCATTTCCTTCTACAGAATTTGTATCACGCCTTATATTCGTCATAGAGCTAGGTACAGATGTACATGTTTCTATCACCCACTTTTTAGCTAACAGTCAGAATTGGGATGATGACAGGGTATGAAAATTTAAATCTAATTTGTCCGTCAGTTAGGTAATGAAAAAATATTAGAAACGTATTGTTTTTATTTTGTCGTATAATAAAACAATACTTAGATAAAACGAATCAAAGTTCAGGAGTGGGGGCTAAAACGTCATTTTTACGTATAAAATATACATAGAAGTGACTGCCTCATTGGCCGAGTGGTCGCAAGTGCGACTGCCGGGCAAGGGGTCTCAGGTTCGATTCCCGGGTCGGGCAAAGTATTACTGGGTTTTTAAAAATCTCAGTAGTAGCACGGAGACTGGAAAAATGTGCCCGGTATATATGGCAATAGGCTCACCCCCTATTGCATGGGACTCATAACATAAATAGTGAAAAGTGGATGTTACATTGTACAGTGGCATTAAGTGCCGAAATGTGCACCTCTGCCTACCTCTTCGGGGATAAAAAGGCGTGATGTTATGTTATGTAAGAAGTGACGTCACGCGATATTTCAAATCAATATATCGTCGAAAGTATTCGTTTCTGTAAGAAAATAAAAAATACTAATGATTTAAAATAATCTACCAGACGGACATTAGAATAAAAATTAGGCATCTACCCTATTTTCGGCAACAACACATGAATATTTTTGCCTGATTTGCAAACAATTGGCCATTGAATAGCTTATTTTTGAAGGAGAAGGATGTTAGGTTATAATACTGTATATCTAGATTTTCCTACAGAATCGTGACCTAGTTTATAGAAATACACTGTAAAATGTATATCGTTTCCGTCCCGAAGTAAAATGGTTCTGTCTCGGCAATACAATAGTTTTACAAAGGAATAAAATGTTTAAAACAAAAAATAACTGGTGAACCATTGCAAAAAGCAAACTTCGGAAGCGCATACGAACTCATAGTACATTATCGAAACATCACGCCGTATAATTCTGGAAGAGGTATTTCTCGTCGGGTGATAGCGTGCGATGCAAATAAAGCCTACAAATGTCAGTCTAAAAAAAATACTAATTTCTGTAGAATGTAGAAAGGATAGATGAAGGCATATTTACGATAATGAGCGGATATGAATGGGACCGTCGGTAAAGGGCACCCTAGACAGATAATTATATCGACCAACACAACATAACGCCTTTTGTCCCCGAAGGGGTAGACAGAGCACATTACTTAACTGTAGGTATGCCACTGAACAATGTATCGACTAGATTGGCAATATATTAAAGAAGGGCCAAATTAAAAGTACCCTTAACCGACGAGCATGCATGAAAAGATTGATGACTGTTGATGAAGCGAAAGAGGTATGTAGGAATCGGAGCAATTGGGGTTCCATAATCTCTACCTGACCATGGGAGACAGGCGTGATGTTATGTATGTATTAATTTCTGCTGTAACACTTTTTAAATTAATCTTTATCATTATTATTAAAGAACTGTGTTTATATTTAGATTTCTTCGAAACAGAGGGTCATCAATTTATCAATCAGCAATATGATTCATTCATAGCATTTATTTATATCATTAAACATGATAAAAACTTCAACATTTTGTATGAAAACATAAGTTTTTCCTTATTTGTATTATAACTAGATCTAGATTAATAGATCTAATTTGTCTTTAACGTTGTTCGATATCGGGCTCAGTGATGTCTGAGCCCTAATAGATGTATTTATTTATTTACACTTTATTGTACACCATAAAAACATACATAGAAAATAAACATAAAAGAATGTGTACAATGGGCGGTCTTATCGCAGAATGCGATTTCTTCCAGACAACCTTTGGATGGAGCCAGTATTCAGGAGTTGGAAAAAGGGGGTCGTCTAGTGTACAATAATTAAAACAATACATACAGTATAATACTATCTATACCTACATACCAAATAAATAATGTGATGTATTATTTTATTGGGTTTTTGGGACAAGCCCGCCACAACCTCCCAAAACCGCTACAACTCCTGTAAGGGTCTACAGTAGATACAACCATGCAAACACCGGAACACTGAAGTCCGGCGCGTCCCAGTGACATGAATAACTGTCTTGGTTCCAGCAACGAAGTGAATCAGAAGATATAATAAGAGGAGAAAATAAAAGATAGTTTATTGTTGGTTTTACATTGGTGCACATTACGGCACTTAATGCCACTGTACAACGTAACACCCACTTTTCACTATTTATGTTATGAGTCCCATGTATTAGTGGGTGAGCTTATTGCCATATACCGGGCACAATTCCAGACTCCGTGCTACGACTGGGATTTTTTTTTAAACCCAGAACCGAGACCCCTTGCCCGGCAATCGCACTTGCAACCACTCGGCCAACGAGGCAGTCTTAAAAAGTAACACCCACTTTTTTAAAGCGTGATGTGCAGATACGATATACAACGACGCGATTTTATTTGTATTATCGCCTCAATTATCTATGTATATCAAATCCTTTATTTATACGATATGATTATACGATTACTGACTATCAATATTAAGGTACAGTGCAAATTCAGTGCTAGAAATATGACCTGACTGCCTGGTTACCGGTCAGCCAAAAGTGATGTTTTTATTTGGGACTAGCTACTGTCAGCGGCTTCGCCCGCGCTTCGGGGGATAAAAGTAGCCTATGTAAACTCCCGACCATAATCTGCCCACTGCTCCAAATTTCATCCCAATCCCTTCAGCAGTCGTCTCCTCCTTTTGCGAACCAGTCATGCTAGCTAAGGAGGAGGCGGGACGCGTGAGGCAGCGAAGCGCTGCCTCCTCGCAACTCAGCCATCGCGAAGGACACACCAGGATCGCGGGACGATCTCCGGCCACCGTAAGCGCGGGCCTGCGGACGGCGAGCATGGGTGGCTCCCCGTCCGACCAGAAACACACCCGAGCGCACGGCGCGTCGCGTTCCGCGCGCGCCTCAAAGAGCCATCAGACCACCACAGATGGGGCCCAACAGGGCCGATGCCGATTCGGAGTCGCGGAGAACCTAACTGGTAACCGGGGCTCCGGCTCGACGTGCAGGAGATGGAACGGGGTGGTTTTTAGTCAGTAAGAGTACACTCCCTTCCGCCTCACCCAGGCGGGAGCAGTCATTCGATGATTTCCCCCCTTAAAAAAAAATAATTCCCTTCAGCAGTTTTGATGCGACTGAGTAACAAAAATAGACACAAACTTACCAATTTTCGCATTACTAATAGCCGTTTAAGCTAATTTCAACTATATCGCCCAAAAGTTACAGCGTAAAGTCCACTGCGGGTTACCTAACATATAACAAACTTATATTTGCGTTTGGTACAGTCATCGTGGCTATGGTTCGAGCCGCACAATTTAGTTTGTTTTATAGTGTACTAGCTTTTACCCGCGGCTTCGCTCGCGTCACAAAAGGATAAAAAGTAGCCTATGTGACATATACCAATACATACAGCGCCATCGCCATCTATACCAATATCAAATTTTTTTGGTATAAAAAGTACCCTATTATTTAATCCTGACTACTAACTTTACGTCTGCAAAAATTCTAAGCAATCGGTTTAGTAGTTACGGCGTGAAGTCGGAACAAACAAACAAACTCACTTTCCGATTTATAATATTAGTAAGGATGTACTATTTCGAGATAAAAACTACTCAGTGTGGTGCACAATGCCTACCCCAATGACTTCCAGCTGCCACACTTGCGTATTATAGCATGTTGGTTCGGCTCCACTGGACAATACTCAAATGTAGTCAGTAGTTAAATTCCAATAGTAGGTAATTAAATACTTTAATTCTAATGTAGACAATCTAGTTTCCTTATGGCATCGAGCATTTCTTTCTTTATTGAAACAAAGAGTTTCCTTTTTCTTGTATAGAAACACTATTTCTATGGATTGTTAGTATGCATATGTAAGCACCATGTTAGACTAAAAGATTTCTTATTTTTTTAAATTTTAGTAAGTTATTAGTATAATGCGTCAAGCGTGTCTTTGCATTGTTCTTACATATGCGTACAGTATTGAAATATGTATCAGAGACATTGTAGAACATACTTTTTTAAAAAGAGTAACGAATGGTGCTTCTTCCTCGTTCTTCTCCATTCGAATCTACATTTTGGAATGAGCACCTAGCTTCACCTAGCTTCACTGACGGACTGACTGACAGACTATTATTTATTTTGTATTTGTTGACGTTTCAAAAGTACCAAACTATGATTTAATTGAAATAAATGCTTTGATTTTGACTTTATATCTTGATTCTATTTTCCAGGACATGCAGTCGTCGAGCCTGGGTGGAGGCTATCCTAGGTACCAGGGCTACCCGTATGTGAAACCAATAATCACTGAGATACCATCCGATGCACAGCCGGCCACAGTAAGATTCTTTTATACAATCACTAACTTTTACCCGCGGCTTCGCTCGCGTCACAAAAGGATAAAAAGTAGCCTATGTGACATACCAATACAGACAGCGCCATCTATACCAATACTTTTGTTTTTCCTCGGGAATATCAAATTTTTCCGGGATAAAAAGTACCCTATTATTTAATCCGGACTACTAACTTTACGTCTGCAAAAATTCATAGCAATCGGTTTAGTAGTTATGGCGTGAAAGTGGAACAAACAAACAAACTCATTTTCCGATTTATAATATTAGTAAGGATTATTTGGCTAGTAAACCACATCATATGTTGAACCATTTGACGTTTTGGCAGACTCACTAATACACTTACTATTATCTATTTCTAAACAAAGATATCTCCAGAAACATAACGTAAATCGTTTCCATATGGCTTGCACTATCAAAATTTGCAGAAATCGAACACGCAAGACGTTGCGCACCGTATATAAAAAAGATTTTATTTTGGATTGGTTTCTGTTAGTGACTTCGCCTACTATAAGTCGTCTATTCCTGTGAAATTTTTCATTCAGTTCCGTTCAGTAGTTTTAGCGTAAAAGATTAACTATTGGGTACTTTCCTTAATCAAAAACAAATTGTTTCGACTGTTCAATACAATAAAATATTACAAAATAATCACACTTTCATTAATTGATTTTATGACCAACTTTATTTTAGTATATTTCCAGCAAATTTTTAACAAAGAAGTATGCTGTTTGACGTTAAAAAAAACGTGAAAATCATAGAAAACCGTCGTTTTTGGCAGTTCGAAAAAAAGTATTGAATTTGTCTAGTTAAAAAAACGATAGTTTCCACTTCCCTCGATGAATTACTGCAGGAGACAGAATGAATTAAGCCTAACGGCACAAAAATGAGACTGAAAAAGACTTTAGAGATCATCTTAAAATTTAGTATCATTCAGTAACTAATAAGTTCTATAATTATTTTTCTCCTATTACAGATAATACAGCCCCCACCCCAGGCCAGTAACCCTTACCCTCGTTACCAAGGGTATCCCTACGTGAACCCCATCGTAACTGATGTTCCCACTATAGACCCCCAAACAGCAGCAAGATGGGCCAATCTACCACGACGACCATTGCAGACTGATGGCCCAAGAGCTGGAACGAGCTATGGACCCAGTAGTCCTCAGGTATGTACTTTAAACTGTTCGAAATTAACTAAATATCGCGGGTTACTCACGTGAAAGTATTGAGAAAAGCTCTACTAGTTTCGAACCACAGAGGGGTTTTTCCTCGCTTGACTGCGCGACATCACGAGGTTACAAGTGCGACTACTGGGTCTAAGTGAGAGTCTCGGGTTCGATTCCCGGGTCGGGCAAAGTATTACTGGTTTTTTTTTTTAATTTTCAGTAATAGCCCGGAGTCTGGAAGTCCGGTCCGGTTGTGTCCGGTAGGTATTGTGGCGACGCATGCCACATGTCAACGGATGACGTCACAAGAATCCTGCATCGCACATGCAAAGTTTACAAGCGAATAAACACGGATAGAAAATCCCAACGAACAACTGTTGGGCAGAAAGCCCGCCAGGCACGATCACCTCGCCTGGTCGGAGGATCCTCCTATTCCAATCTTAGGGAACTATACTCTCTGTTCCCTACAGTATAATATGGCAATAGGCTCACCCCCTATTACATGGGACTCCTAACATAAATAGTGAAAAGTGGGTGTTACTTTGTACAGTGGCATTAAGTGCCATGATGTTAGGCGTGTTGTTATGTTATGTTATACTACTTTATCAAAATTACAGACAACACCCACAAGAGCTGCCACAACAGAAAATGCAGAGACAACTAAAAAGGACATCGATGAGACGCCTGTCGTCTACATTGACATGCCTGAAGCTGGGAGCGAGGTGTCACAGAGCATCGTCACTCCTACTGATGATGAACCGGAGTTCGTGCAGGTAGATATAGTTCTAAATAAGGGTTAAAGTAACAATGATGATGATGATTAGAATGAACAAGGGCGATTCTCTGAATTAATTTAAAAAGAATATTGCAACCACAGGATCTTGGCAATAAAGGAAACCAAATAGAATATAGAATAAAGAGAGAATATAGAGAGAATCTTATCTTATACTATTTCATAAAGCGGAAGAGTTTGTTTTTTTGTTTATTTGTTTGAACGCGCTAATATCCGAAACTACTGGTCCGATTTGAAAAATTCTTTTTGTGTTGGATAGCGCATTTATCGAAGATGGCTATAGGCTATAAACTATTACGCTACGGCCAATAGCAGCTGACCAGAGCGTGTGAAACCGCACGGAAGTAGCTAGTATAGAATATACTGTGATTTTAACTAAAATATGAATCTTCACCTAAATGATATGATCACAATGACCAGTAGAATGGTTGGTGTACCAGTTATTATGACCAAATCATTCAGGTGAACCATAGAACCGTAATAGTTTTGCAGAGTACGTAATATCATACACTGCAAAACTAATGGTTTTAGATACTTTTCGATGCGTGGAATTTCGCGGAAAGATCTGATAAATACGACTTATTGTGTCCTGTGGAAACCGCTATTGTAAATGACTGTATGACTTTTTGGAAAATAATAGACAAAATATTAATTACAGGACACGATCATGTACGATCCCTTTGAAAACCGAAGGATTGACGCAGTGAAAGATGAATCAAGATCTGGTGCGTCTTCCGAATCAGGATCCTCAAATTCATCACACCATCAAGCTATCAGACCAAACACCCTGAACCTGGCTGGAGGAAGCTCAAGTAAGTACACAGCAGCTCATGTAAAGATCCACTGTCCAATCAAAGTGTAAAATCAACTGATGGCAGCGGTGACTGTCCGGATGACACACGTACTTAGGTATCGTCATGAGCTAATGTTCACATGTAAACAGCAGCTCATGTAAAGAGATTGTCCAGTCAACTGATGGTAGCGGTGACTGTCCAGGCGACACACGTACTTAAGTATTAATATTAATGACTGACATTTTCGCCTCCAGGTGCAGACACTCCAGGCTCTTCATCATCACGACAGACTCCATTAATGCCAAGTTTTATGGCTAAAGAGAGTCAAGTATATGGTGGAAATACAAGTGATGGGTTTCCAATATCACCCATTCCTATTTCGGAGTTTCCAGAGCCACCACCGGCTTACACAGAGACTCCTGTTACTCAATCTCCATCTCCTACCAGAGATCCTGCTAGAGAGACGCCCAGAGAACCCATTCTGGAGCCTTTGAGAGTGGAGTCAATTCGAAGAGATCCTGTTTATTCTCCAGCTCCTATGACGCAGGTCATCACATCAAGTAAGTCTTTATCAACTTTCATTTTAAACATTTTTTTTTGATTGAGTCCGTCTACTTTTTTTTTCTTAAGCAAACTTCTGATCTTCGTTTTGTTAGTGAGATTTTTACTGATTTTAGCACCTACCTAGTTGACTATTGTGCCTAGGTAATAAGCTACTGTGTGACGTGTTGCCGGTTTGATTCCGCCACGCAACAATGGGATGGTTTCCTAAATTTTATTTTAATGTCCGTCTGGTACATTAGTTTAAAACTTTAGACACATATTTATTATTTTCTCACAAAATTAAATACTTTCGACGGTATATTAGTTCGAAATATCGTGTGACGTCACAGCGTGCCACATTTTGTAGCACGTTATGACGTAACAACCTCCCACTCCTAAACTTAACGCCATTTTATCTAATACGAGAAAATAAAAAAATATGTCTCTAATATTTTTTCATTGCCTAATTGACGGACTAATTAGATTTTTAATTTTGATACCCTGGTAAACTACCTTCTTTCTACTAACTTCTTTCGGGTCTGGGTGCGATGTGTATTTGCTATTTTGTGTTTGTAACATTAAGAAAATTTATTTATGATGATGATAATCTTAAAACGCACGCATAACATAGAAGCAATCCACGCGTGCATCAAAGAGCCATTAGACCACCACAGATGACGGACCCAATAGGGCTGATGCCGATTCGGAGTCGGGGAGAACCTAACGGGTTACCGGGGCTCCGGCTCGAAGTGCAGGAACGGGGTGGTTTTTAGTCAGTAAGAGTCTGATACTCCCTACCGTCTAACCCAGGCGGGAGCAGCCATTCGATAATTTTTCCCCTTAAAAAAAACATAGAAACAAACCCATTAGAGCCACATTAATAATACTATTTTAGGGAAAGTATAGTTCCCTAAGATCGGAAAAAGAGAATCCTTCGACCAGGCAAGGTGATCCTGGCTGCCGGGGTTTCTGCCCAACAGTTGTTCGTTGGGATTCTCAATCCATATTTATTCGAATATAAACATCAAATATGCGATGTAGGATTTGTGTCATCGTGTTCATTTGCTCATGTATGTACACACGGCCACACATCAATCTATACAAAACCAGTTTATCCTGGTGTCGCGTCGCATCATCTTTCCGCACATTTAACGTTCAGTTTATACTGGTTATGTAAAGCTCGATGTGTAGCCGTCTGTACATGTCCTAATGCATATTTCAGATTACTCCAGTCCAGTAACCAACCTGCCTCTATCAGCTATGAACTACGAGAGAAAGAACCTCATCTGCCATCATTGTGGATCCAGGGTACATACGCTGGTTGTCAAAGAGAATGGACCTATGACACACGTCATAGCTTGTATTCTCTTTTTTATGTTGTAAGTATGAACTCTTCTGTCTTAATTAGGCGAAATTAATACGCTATTATAATCTAAACTCGTCCTTTTTTATGGCATAAGTCGGTAAACGAGCAGACGGATCACCTGATGGTAAGCAATCGGCGTCGCATATTGACACCTGGAACACCAGAGGCGTTACAAGTGCGTTACCGGCTTTTTGGGGATTAAGAGTTTGAGGATCGTTGAGGATTCAGGGATTGGAGAGATTGGGGAAAGGGAGGGTAATTGGGCCTCCGGTAACCTCACTCACACGACGAAATACAACGCAAGCGTTACTTCACGTCGGTTTTCTGTGAGGCCGTGGTATGGGTATCATTCCGGTCGAGCCGGCCCATTTGTGTGCAAGCATGGCTCTCCCACACGTTCGATCGATCTCTGATTGTTTGATAGAATTTTTTAAGTAATACTCAATATTTGAATACTGAAAAGTTTATTCTATTCTAAACTGATCATAAAAGAACACAGCGTGATGCTCGTCAAAGTTCCCGCCAGAATCGCGCGTTACAACTCTTTGCGCGGGAAACTTTACTAATCTGTCACATTTGACAGACGACATCGTCAACATGACAGTTAGTGCTGTCGATAATACAGATTAAACTAGTGATGTTCATGTTTCAAGTTTCTTGCTCGTTCTTCTCCAAAGGAATCTACACCTTGGAGTGAGCAAACAGCTTCAAGTTAAATTTTTTGTTGACGTTCAAATGTGCCTTCCTGTGGACTTACTCTTGAATCCAATTCCTATCGATCGACATTGGTATTGTGAAATTTCGTACTCTTGACTTGCAACACTAGCGCCCATTGCATCCGTATTGCGTGGATATTGAATAAACTAAATGAGATAGAGGTTGCCTTTATATTCCGTACTCAGACATATATTAACAGCTACGATTGAGGTTGTATAGTTGTGACATTGAATAATTATTGAGATTTTATTGGATTGAAATTGCATTGACATTGGAATTGGTTACAAGAATTAGCACCCTGGTCTAATTGAAATAAATGATTTTGACTTTAACTTTGACTTCATAGTTCGTCATCATTCCTATTATATATATAGGCCGGTATGTGTTACAACTGAGTTATATTAATTAACTGTTTTTCTTCTTCCACAGCCCTCTCTCAATCTTCTGTGTCTACTGCACCGACTACTTCAAGTACAACAACCACTACTGTCCCAGCTGTAACAACCAAATCGGTTACGTGTCTCCTGTAGTGGGTAAAAAAGTTAATTACATCACTTAAACTAAGTCTACTTGCCCTTTTTAGCATCTACTATTCTCATTTTCACTGCTCGTCGCCTATCGATCGTAGTGTGAGGTTTTATTGCCTATTTATATAGCCTTTCTAGATAAATTGATAATAATATAATAATAAAGCCCTTTATTCAGAATTTTTACATTACGAGTTGTTACAAAAAGGTTACATTATATCTTGTGCCTTTTGGCAAAGGCAAGCTGTCTCCATTGAATTATGTCGCAGGCTAGATAAATTGATAGCCTAACACAAAAATAACATATGCAAATCGAACCAGTCGTTTCTGAGATTAACTAAATCAGAAGTCATTTTATATTAACTAAAAATCGCGGGTTACTCACGTGAATATAATGAGAAAAGCTCTACTAGTTTCGAACCCGCGATTTTTAGTTAATTTAGTATGTCTCACGATAGTTGTTATAAAAATCATTTATATTGATATCTGGTATATTCTTCATTTTTCAAAAATTGTATCTAAATACCTAATAATACTTTGTCCTCCGGAGATTAATTCATTTAATTAGTTATTTAATATAAATACCTATATTAGATCGATATCATCATGAAAAACTATCATTCATTCTATAATAAGTCTAAGTTTCCTTAGTACTAAGGTCCACGAAAAATTGCACCAAACAAATCTTCTACATATATTAATAACTAGCTTTTACCCGCGGCATCGCTCGCGTCACAAAAAAAATAAAAAGTAGCCTATGTGACATATACCAATACACACAGCGCCATCTATACCAATACTTTTGTTTTTCCTCGGAAATATCGATTTTTCCGGGTTAAAAAGTACCCTATTATTTAATCCGGACTTCTAACTTTACGTCTGCAAAAATTCAAAGCAATCGGTTGAGTAGTTACGGCGTGAAAATGGGACAAACAAACAAACTCACTTTCAGATTTTTAATATTAGTAAGGATTTCGTCAAGGGGTACGGTAGACTCGATCGAAACATTACCTGAATAACAAAACATAATAAAATATCGATTTCGAGTCGACAACACATATCCGCAAAATTCGGATTACGGAGATTATTTCGTTTTATTAATTCATTTTAACTCGTCGAGTACCGGTTTTATAGACACAATTAAAGAACAATAGGTCGCGGTCACCGGTGACCGCTTGGTGTTTGACAGATTAATGACACTGACAGACAAACCGCAGGCGGCATCTTGAGTAGACAATAAACATTCCGTTTCATACTAGCTCTCAAATACGCCTCGCCAATCAACACGTTGTCGCGTCAAATAAAATAATAATAATAAATAAGTATATATATTAACAAGAAATATGAATAATTTCACGCGAACGAAGTCGCGAGTAACAGATAATATTATAATATGAATGGCGACTACCTACGAAAATTAAAAATCGATTCATCCGCCAATTAGACAAAACACAATCAGACTCGTATTTTTTATTTTGTCGCTTATGTAAACAAAACTTTGATAAAACGAATCGAAGTTAAGGAGTGGGAGCTAGTTACGTCACTTCTAATTATAAAACGTACCTAGAAGTGACGTCACGCGATGTTTCAAATCAATACTTACTTTAATTATAGTCGAAAACTTTTCCCGTAATGGTGGGGCTACATTATTATACAAATGTTCGCCCGCTAATGTAGTCCCAGCATTAAAAATTAAAAAATACGTGCAATAAACTACCAGACGGCCTTTAAAATAAAGAATTGTAGCCTATCTTACGAACAAAGCATCATATAATATTATAGTTACAATAATTATTAAACACCGACTGCCTCATTGGCCGAGTGGTCGCAAGAGCGATTGCCGGGAAAGAGGTCTCGGGTTCGATTCCCAGGTCGGGCAAAAAATTCCCGGAGTCTGGAATTGTGCCCGGTATATGGCAATAGGCTCACCCTTTATTACATGGGACTCAACATAAAATAGTGAAATGTGGGTGTTGCATGGTACCGTGGCATTAAGTGCCGTAATGTGCACCTCAGCCTACTCCTTCGGATGATAAAAGGCGTGATGTTGTATTATGTTATAATTATTATATAATTTAGTTTACATGTATAAATATTATATTAGAATTTTACAATCACCAAGTTGGTGGTAATTGTGATGTATATACGATTTTGAATCGAACAGGGACATAGTGAACAACGTACTTACATATAATACTTAGACATAATATACTTATAAATAATAACTTAGAACATAATCTGTAAAAATGTAGTTTTAAGTTTCATTTAACATAGAATTATATGTATACAATTATAGAAACTATGAGTAAATTAATATGACAAAGACAAATATAATTTATTTGCAAAAACACGTGTTAAATAATAATACATCATAGAATGCACATTATAAGTTGTACAGATGAGCAGTGAGCATAGTATCAACATGTTTGACCATTTCTGTTGTACAAATGTGGAATATAATATTAAATCCAATTATAACAGTAATTAAACTTTAACTTTACTATTATGTCAGTCTATCCGTCAGTGAAGCAAGGTGCTCATTGCAATAGATATTTAAAGGAGGCTATACACGCTAGGTTATGCATTATGGTTATAACTGTGCATGCAAAACCGAGTTTCATACCAGGCATACACGTTAGGTTTTGCATGTACGGTCAAAGGTCAAAAGTCCACTGCCACCGTAAGACCACTATCGGTTGCGCTGCAGCGCTTATATACACATGCACACGTATATTTCTATCCGTGTGCATACGCGTGCGTGTGTTTATGCGTACGCACGCGTTTTGACGTGACAACGTCTTATAAATTGGTTTGCCGGGTGACACTTCACGAAACTGCGTTACGCTCCGCTCACGTTATGCGCTCACAATGAGAGCGAGTGAGAGGCACGCGTCCCTTCCACTCGGGCATGGTTAGCCCGCCTAAGAGCGAGAGAGACAGACATAATATTTTACCACTCAAAGTCGTTGTCACGTAAAACTTACGCCCGTATACCGACTTTACAGGCAACCAATTTTTTTATGCACATTAACACGTTGAACGCCATGGGGGTCACCGGTGACCGGCGTTAACGGAGGATTTACCATCAACAGTTTTTTATTGGCAGTCAAAGTCTTAATATGAAATTACTTATGCATTGCCGTGTGAACATCACTCACGGTGGCAGTGGACTTTTGACCTTTGACTGTACTTGCACCGATAAGTGTACAGTTTAATCACATACACGGTAGAGCTTGCCTGTCGGTTATGCATGCACGGCTAAAACTATCATGCAAAACCTAGCGTGTATTGCCTCCTTAAGACACGCTAAAATCAATACGTATAGTATATCAACATAGAAAAGAAAATCTAGATAATTTCGCCCTTTTTGCTATCTAGAATAACACATATGTATAAAATAGATATATATTTTAAAAACTACTTACTTTGTTTTATTTTACAGAACCCTTTTACAGGTTAAAACAAAATAATAAATATGGCGAACGCCAGACCGGTTCCTAGGAATCGAGGACATAATATTGTGAAAAATAATAGAATTTATTTTGTTCATTTCTATTTGTATCTACTTTGAGAGCTTCTCTTTTTTTAGATTTCTCTTGAATTGGATAAAATTTTACCTATAATATTATTTTTACCCGTTGCTTTGTCTGTGTTAATGTTCCATGAAAACTAACAAAAAATGATGACTTTGTCCATCTTTGTAATCCCAAGTACAATGTACAGTCAATCAAGTTATTTAGTACTAGCTTTTACCCGTGGCTTCGCTCGCGTCACAAGAGGATAAAAAGTAGCCTATGTGACATATACCAATACACACAGCGCCATCTATACCAATTCTTTTGTTTTTCCTCGGGAATATCAAAATTTTCCGGGATAAAAAGCACCCTATTATTTAATCCGGACTTCTAAATTTACGTCTGCAAAAATTCAAAGCAAGCGTTTTAGTAGTTACGGCGCAAAAGTGGAACAAACAAACAAACAAACTCACTTTCCCATTTATAATAGTAAGGATTTTTTTTAATGGAATAGGAGGCAAACGAGCATACGTATCACCTGATGGTAACCGATTAACGCCGCCCATGGACACCCGCAACACCAGAGAAGTCACAGGTGCGTTGCCGGCCTTTAAAAAGGAATACGCTCTTTTCTTGAAGGTTTGAAGGTCGTATCGGTTCGGAAATACCGCCGACGACAGATCATTCCACAGTTTTGCTGTTCGAGGCAGAAAGCAACGAGAGAAAGGCATAGTTGTGCAATCTATATGATGGGGTTGGATATACTGTCTGTCAGTATTCAGGTAGGTAACAAAATAAAATCAATTGAATACTAAGATTACTGCCTCGTTGGCCGAGTGGTCGCAAGTATGACTGCCGGGCTAGGGGTCTCGGGTTCGATTCCCGGGTCGGGCAAAGTATTACTGGGTTTTAAAAAAAAACTCAGTAGTAGCACGGAGTCTGGAATTGTGCCCGGTATATGGCAATAGGCTCACCCCCTATTACATGGGACATAAATGGGTGTTGCATGGTACAGTGGCATTAACTCGTCGAGTACCGGTTTTATAGACACAATTAAAGAACAATGGGTCGCGGTCACCGGTGACCGCTTGGTGTTTGACAGTTTAAGTGCCGTAATGTGCACCTCTGCCTTCGGGGATAAAAGGCGTTATGTTACAACCATGCAAGCATCGGAACACGTCCGGCACGTCCGGCACGTCCAAGGGACATGAATAACTGTCTTGGATCCTGCACCGAAGTGAATCAGAAGATATTAATAAAGGAGAAGAAATATACCTATGTCTAGTTATTATGACTGAAAATTTATAAAGTTGACTTACCTATTTAATTTGATGGGACCACCAGTTTTTCTAACTTTCAGTGCTTGCTCCCAAAACTTCACAGCTTCAGGTAAAATTGTGTTCTGAAAAAAAAAACATAATACATCTTAATTACTTTTAGTTATGTATGTACTAGCTTTTACCCGCGGCTTCGCTCGTGTCACAAAAGGATAAAAAGTAGCCTATGTGACATATACTAATACATACAGCGCCATCTATACCAACACTTTTATTTTCAATTGGAAATATCTCCGGGATACAAAGTACCCTATTATTTAATCTGGACATCTAACTTAACGTCTACAAAAATTCAAAGCAATCGGTTTAATAGTTACGGCGTGAAAGCGGAACAAAAAAACAAACAAACTCACTTTCCGATTTATAATATTAGTAAGGATGTTTGTGCGCGATTATCTCGCGATTGGCTGAACCGATTTTGATGCGGTTATCAGAAAAGTGCTTCATCTTTTATTCTTATGTATTATAATAAAATGTATATTACAATGCTAATATGTAAACTTACATTGATCATATCAAACTTCTCCGGCTCTAACCTGAAACAGAAAAACGAAAAATAATTAAAATATTGTTAGGTACACCCAAAGCTTTTGCAATTTAAACACGCTTATATTATACTTCCATAGGCAACAACGACAAACTATAACTACATAATACATAACATAACATCATTTCAGTGTCGGAGAGCCATGCTTCGGCACGAATGGGCCGGCTCGACCGGAGTGATACCATGGCCGAGGAGAAAACCGACGTGAAGCAACGCTTGCGTTGTGTTTCGTCGTGTGAGTGAGGTTACCGGAGGCCCAATTACCCTCCCCTTCCCTAATCTCATCAATTCCTGAATCCCCAATGATCCTCAAACTCCTAATCCCCAAAAGGCCGGTAAAGCACTTGTAACGCCTCTGGTGTTCCAGGTGTCCATGGGCGACGCCGATTGCTTACCATCAGGTGATCCGTCTACTCGTTTACCGGCCTATGCCATAAAAAAACCGTCGTTTAACCCTGAAGGAGTAATCAGAGGTGCAAATTACGGCACTTAATGCCACTGTACAATGTAACACCCACTTTTCACTTTTTATGTTATGACTCCCATCCCAAATAACAGGGCGTGAAAATCTTTTCTTCCCAAAATCTTCTTAGTTTCTTCTTTATGTATCTCCTAAGTAATAACAGAAGTGCACACTTCTTTTTACGATCCATATCACGACCTAGTTTCCAATTGCAAATACGTTTAGTACGGTTGACGGTCGTCGAAGGAATGGTAGACGCCTTGTCGCACGAAATCGCATCACAGCAATTCGTGTCGTGATTTTCCGCGTTGCGAATTCGCATCGCATCGCATCGTGTTGTGTACGAACCTTATGGTGCCATCGAGCTGGTTTGATGATGGAATTGGAAGGTGGTTGATGGAACCTTCGACAACCTACTAATAGTACTAGTACACATATTGAATTTGGTCTCATTAGATGTATTCACTCCATCTGATGGCGAGGACATAATTGGACCTTCAAAAAATTTGTGTGTTCAATGTAAACATTCACAACGTACATCAGCTCATCAAGGTACACTCTAAATACACACAAATCCCAACTTTATTCTACAGTCATAATGGTCGAAAATAGATTGAATCTCTGTAATAGACTGGTGTATACTGAAGTGCGTCTGTACCTACTTATGTATTCTGGTCATACATTTTTGTGTAGGTTTCATTAATGGAAATTTTACTCGTCTATCCAAATATAATTTGATTTTCAGCATAACAATTTAACCTGATTGTCAGTCTGAGCCTAGATATTTACAAGGTAAATGAGACATACTAAATAAATTATTATGTTTTCGGCTTACTCACGTAATAATTTGACGAGGAACTCAACTAGTTTCAAGCCATGCTTTATAAAATCTATTATTAATGTTTTGTTTTTATTTTGACTATATTTGTTTTATTTCTATTGTAATGATCCTTGTTTTCGTGTGCTAATGGCCAAATAAATGCATTTTCTTGCATGCATAAGGATAAGGAAATGCATAAGGAACGCGGACGCTCGACGGGTTATGATTTTCCAATGTCATAAAATTAATTAATTTACAACCTTTTTAATAATCAATCACCTAAATCTAGTCTTGACTCAATAAACAAATACCAACGTAATTAGATTTTTAAATTAGAGAATTAAATGTCAAATCACTATTTAAATAAATCAGTGAGTAGTACATAAATTGCGGAGACATCCGTAAACAAAATGGCGTCCAAAATTATACAAGTAATTGACAATAAAGCCACCTTCCAATTGTTTATCTAGTTCATTGTCAGTATTCCCGGCTCCTATTGATTTTAGAATGATTTTTAAGTATAGCCTATAACATAACACCACGCCTTTTATCCCCGAAGGGATAGGCAGGAGGTGCACATTGCGGCACTTAATCTACTGTACAATGTAACACCCACTTTTCACTATTTATGTTAAGAGTCCCATGTAATAGGGGGTGAGCCTATTGCCATATACCGGGCACAATTCCAGACTCCGTGCTACTAAAGAGATTTTTTTTTTAAAACCTTACTTCCTTACTAATATTATAAATCTGAAAGTGAGTTTGTTTGTTTGTTTGTTCCACCTTCACACCGTAACTACTAAACCGATTGCTTTCAATTTTTGCAGTTATAAGTCTAGATTAAATAATAAGGTACTTTTTATCCAAAAAAAATTTGATATTCTCGAGGAAAAACGAAATGATTGGTATAGATGGCGCTGTGTGTATTGGTATGTGTCATGTAGGCTACTTTTATCCTTTTGTGACGCGAGCGAAGCCGCGGGTAAAAGCTAGTAAGTTAATAAACAACTTAAATGAATAAGTGCCATGTTCTTTTTAGTCGGTTTATCTTTAAGATTAAAAAGGTTTAACCAAACTCCAATGTTTTCCTCAAACTCCATCACTGATATATTTAGAATCCAATTTATTTTAATCAAAATAAACTAAAAGGATTGGAATATTTAATGATCATTGTCCTTTTAGCAAACGACGCTGCTTGAGAATAATGTAATCTAACCGCTTGGAAATACTTCATTATTATGTTTTTATTTACTAAATAATTTATTGACTGCCTCATGGGCCGAGGTCAGGTCAGGAGTGCCAGGTCGGGCATAGTATTACTGGGTTTGTAAAAACCTCAGTAGTAGCACGGAGTCTGGAAATGTGCCCGGTATATGGCAATAGGCTCACCCCCTATTACATGGGACTCATAACATAAATAGTGAAAAGTGGGTTATACATTGTACAGTGGCATTAAGTGCCGTAGTGTGCACCTTTGCCTACCCCTTCAGGGATAAAAGGCGTGATGTTATGTTATTAATTTATTGTTAACTAGCACACCCGGCGAACTCCGTTTCACCACCAGATGGCTTCGTTTTATGTAACATTTCGTTTGGTGATTAAAAGATGAAGAAACATTTTTTCCTGAAACCTCACGGAGCCCGAGACCCTTCCAACTAATACAAACCCGTGGAAATCGGTTCGTGCGTTCTTGAGTTATAACGTCAGGAAGTAAAACCCGACAAAACCCGTCGAAACCAACCAACGACAAGTACCAATGTGACTCTTTCCGAGTTATTATGTACTTTCTGAGATAATTTAGACACCCCTGACAAACGGTGAAAGAAAACATCGTGAGGAAACCTGGGCTTATAATTTCCAATTATAAGTTTGAAATCGCCAACCCGCATTGAGCAAGCGTGGTGATTAATGCTCAAACCTTTTCCGTGTGAGAAGAGGCCTTTGGTCAGCAGTAACCACTTATCCTATAGGCTGTTAATATGATGTGACTAAGTAAGTAAACATCATTATTATGCGTACATATTGACTTACATATATTATTCATATACTACATATATTTATATCATGAATATATTATCATACAGTACATTAATTCGATTCTTATGCGTACCAATCAATCCTTAATGTCTAGACATAATAAATATTATGTAGCGTGATTTAACTTTCAATTAAAATGTAATGCCAAAGGCCATCTTTACTTTTAAAAGTCTTCCGTTATCGGTACTGAGAGTGACAGACTGTACACAGCTGTAACTACTGCGCGTAGCGAGCTGTGTGACATGTAGCGCGCTGTAGGAGTGTAGGGGAGTGCTGAGAGAGTGACAGACTGTACACAGCTGTAACTACTGCGCGTAGCGAGCTGTGTGACATGTAGCGCGCTGTAGGAGTGTAGGGGAGTGCTGAGAGAGTAACAGACTGTACACAGCTGTAACTACTGCGCGTAGCGAGCTGTGTGACATGTAGCGCGCTGTAGGAGCGTAGGGGAATGCTGAGAGAGTGCCAGACTGTACACAGCTGTAACTACTGCGCGTAGCGAGCTGTGTGACATGTAGCGCGCTGTAGGAGTGTAGGGGAGTGCTGAGAGAGTGACAGACTGTACACAGCTGTAACTACTGCGCGTAGCGAGCTGTGTGACATGTAGCGCGCTGTAGGAGTGTAGGGGAGTGCTGAGAGAGTGACAGACTGTACACAGCTGTAACTACTGCGCGTAGCAAGCTGTGTGACATGTAGCGCGCTGTAGGAGTGTAGGGGAGTGCTGAGAGAGTGACAGACTGTACACAGCTGTAACTACTGCGCGTAGCAAGCTGTGTGACATGTAGCGCGCTATAGGAGTGTAGGGGAGTGCTGAGAGAGTGACAGACTGTACACAGCTGTAACTACTGCGCGTAGCAAGCTGTGTGACATGTAGCGCGCTATAGGAGTGTAGGGGAGTGCTGAGAGAGTGACAGACTGTACACAGCTGTAACTACTGCACGTCGCGAGCTGTGTGACATGTAGCTCGCTGTAGGAGTGTAGGGGAGTGCTGAGAGAGTGACAGACTGTACACAGCTGTAACTACTGCGCGTAGCGAGCTGTGTGACATGTAGCGCGCTGTAGGAGTGTAGGGGAGTGCTGAGAGAGTGACTGACTGGACACAGCTGTAACTACTGCGCGTAGCAAGCTGTGTGACATATAGCGCGCTGTAGGAGTGTAGGGGAGTGCTGAGAGAGTGACAGACTGTACACAGCTGTAACTACTGCGCGTAGCAAGCTGTGTGACATGTAGCGCGCTGTAGGAGTGTAGGGGAGTGCTGAGAGAGTGACAGACTGTACACAGCTGTAACTACAGCGCGTAGCAAGCTGTGTGACATGTAGCGCGCTGTAGGAGTGTAGGGGAGTGCTGAGAGAGTGACAGACTGTACACAGCTGTAACTACTGCGCGTAGCAAGCTGTGTGACATGTAGCGCACTGTAGGAAATCTTACAGAAAAGACGACACAAAACAGTAAATAAATAGTGAGGTACTTACCTATATACAGAGTGGTCGTAAAATATACTTATTCGTAATGGTTGATCTATGCTGCGTTTTTTGACTATGTGAGCAGGTTCTATATGCACACCCCTAATTACCTGCGAACAAAAACGAAACAGTATTTGAGAACACATTTAAAAAAAAATTAAAGAATGTCTTATCTAGTTTAATCTCTGAAAGAACGGGCGGAGGTGTAGATACATACCTGCCTATTCACTATTCAGAATAACGTACCTAAACATAAATAAAGAATAAATAAATAACTACAGACGAAAAATAAAGAACTGTAGCAACAACTGGCACAAGTTGCCTCGCACCGTGTAGCATATGTCCGTCGTCGAAATTGTTGGTCCAAAGGCACAGTCAAAGTCAAAATCATTTATTTCAATTAAACCATAAAGGTACATTTGAACGACAACAAATAAAATTAAAAGTGAAGCTATTTACTCATTTCAAGGTGTACATTCCTATGGAGAAGAACGAGCAAGAAACTCCATAGGTTACTCTTTTTCAATCAGGTTCACAATACAATTCTAGTTACATAGTTTTATTGGTTCGATTGTCCTTCGGGGGCCCCGAGAATGGGGGCTCTGGGCACGGACCCCGAGTGCCTTTATGGTAAATACGGTACTGGTAATGTCATGAGTCCCATGAATGTAATTTGTTATTTACTCCTAGAATTGGGATGATGACAGGGTATGAAAATTAAAAATCTAATTAGTCCGTAAATTGGGTAATGAAAAAATATTAGACACGTATTTTTTATTTAGTCGTATAATAAAACAATACTTAGATAAAACGAATCAAAGTTTAGGAGTGGGGGCTTAAAACGTCATTTCTACTTAAAAATATAGTTACATAGAAGTGACGTCACGCGACATTTCAAATCAATATATCGTCGGAAGTATTCGTTTCTGTAAGAAAATAAAAAATACGTGTCTAATGATTTAAAATAAGCTACAAGACGGGCATTAAAATAAAAATTAGGCATCTACCCTATTAGTAACGCAATAATTATGTAAGGAAACAGTTAATAGTTAAAACATTAGTACCATTTAGCAATTAGAGTTCTTCGTATTTCTGTATCTAATGACCACATATTACAGAGCTATTTCCTTCCTGTAAGACATCGCCTTGGAAAATCCTTACGAATTAATAGAAGTATCTTTCCTTGTATGGAAAAAATTAAGATTCTCAATGTTTACCGACTGTTGTCGGCTGCGATTTAATAAACAATATAGTCTAGATCACTCTCCACTAGTAGCAACGGGGTGGTTTTTAGTACTTTTTAGTCAGTAAGAGTCTGACACTCCCTCTAGCCTCGCCCAGGCAGGAGCAGTCATTCGATGATTTTCCCCCCTTAAAAAAAGGCTCTGTGGCAGCGGCGGCAAAAGTGTCGCGTCGCCTGCCACTCCGCCGTTCGCACCCCGATTCTCGTGGCCAGGACGTAAGGTAGCTTAATGAACTCAGCATCTAAATTAAACCTCGGATAATACAATTAAACTGCCTTTGACAAGATAACAGAATAGATTTATTTGTAGCATTACATCATTGTCATTCGTATCACGAAACAATATTAATAACTCTTTGTCCAATTACTATGGGATAAGCACGGACACTTCAACAGATTTAGCTGTTTATAAGTATTTTGCAAAGTCACGGCAGAGGGCGCGCTGGGCCAGCAGACTCGAGTAGCCAGTAACAGCGCGACAGTCGCCTCTTCGCGGGTCGCGAAATGCTGCTCATGAATATGAGCCTCTAGCATGGCTTGAAACTAGTCGAGTTCCTCGTCAAATTACTACGTGAGTAAGCCGAAAACATAATAAGTTATTTTGCAAAAAATATTTTTTTTATGGGAAAAGCCGGTAAACGAGCGGACGGAGCACCTGATGGTAAGCATTCGGCATCGCCCTGACACCTGAAACACCAGAGGCGTTACAAGTGCGTTACCGGCCTTTTGGGAATTGGGAATTTTAGGATTGTTGGAGATTCGGGTATTGGGGAGACTGGGAAATAGGAAAAACACGGAATTGCGCGTATGAAGTCGCGAACAGAAGCTAGAAGCTAGAACAGAAGCTACTCCTTTTCCGTTCATGCAGTGAGACTGTGGAGTGCGCTCCCGCATAACATTCGGGACGCGGAGTCTATCGCTATCTTTAAAAAACGAGTGAGAGAATACTACCTTTCCTCCTGATATGTAAATTTCTTCATTTATATGTATAGTTTATATTTTGTATGTATTTATTTATATATTGTATGTAGTTGTTTGGTTATTTATTTGTTAGTTTTAAGTCTGTTTCTTATCCTAATTTTCTGTTTGTTACTACACACTGTGGCACTATATTATTATTTATTTATTTATTTATTTATTTATTTGAAAATGTACATATATAACACCACAGCTTACGCCATTAAGTTATACTGTTATAATAATCTTATATAAATGCTATTATTTAGATACTTAAAAAAAACAAACTAATTAGGTAATCAAATACAAGAAATAAAAATTAATACAATAAAGAAACAAAATTAACAAAAAACAAAAAAAAAAGACTATACATTTGAATGACAAATTTGGTAATAAAAGTAATTATTGTAACTGGACACAAACATTAACATTATAATTATTACTTTTCCTGCCTCAGGTCCACAGGAAGAAATTCCAATAGGAATAGGTGGTACCTTTGTACTTTAATTTTATGTATGTGTTGTCCTTTATGTTGTATGTGTGTACATAAATGAATAAATAGAACTGACTTCTGAAGCACCTCGATGTACCCTTTCCAGGAACCAGAATATATACCATTACGAAATTCCGAGGTAATTAACAAATAAACAATTTATATGGGATCAGTATTTTGTTACAATTGCGTACCGATCGTAAAATCCCTATAAAGTTTGTTAAATATAGCTCCCGTTCTAAAATAAGGACTTATATCTTTTCTTCATAGTTCCTTTAGAAAAGGGATGATGACGGGGTAAGAAAATAATATAACTACCTTGGCACATTACGGCACTTAATGCCACTGTACAATATAACACCCACTTCTCACTATTTATGTTATGAGTCCCATGTAATAGGGGGCGGTGAGCCTATTGCCATATACCGGGCACAGTTCCAGACTCCGTGCTACTACTAAGGTTTTTACAAACCCAGTAATACTTTGCCCGATCCGGGAATCGAACCCGAGACCCCTTGCCCGGCAGTCGCACTTTAACTTCTGTCAGCTTTATCGACGTTTCGTGGTATAAAAAGTAGCTTGTGTGTTATCCCAGTGTGGAGCGATGGACTGGGTTGCCGTCTCCTCCTTTTGCGAAGCAGTCATGCTAGCTGAGGAGAAGGCGGGACGCGTCAGGCAGCGCTTCGCTGCCTCCTCGCAACCCAGCCATCGTAAAGGACACACCGGGCGTCGGGGATCGCGGGACAATCTCCGGCTACCGTAAGCGTACACCGCTGAGCGTTCCGCGCGCGCCGCAAAGAGCCAAAAGACCACCACGGATGGGGCCCAATAGGGCTGATACCGATTCGGAGTCACGGAGAACCTAACAGGTTGCCGGGATTCCTAACAGGTTGCACTTCAAGAAGTGCAGGAGAAGGAACGGCATGTTTTTTTAGTCAGTAAGAGTCTGACACTCCATCTCGACTCACCCAGGCGGGTGGAGCCATTCGATGATTTTCTCACCCCAATAAAGTAATTTTGTTCGACAGTAGAATTTGTGTTGAACTTGTGTACAACTAAACCATCGGACACTTCATTTTCATTACCTCATTCTCATTATTCATGTCTCAATTCTCATTATCTAAAAACCTTTCGAAAATTAAAACGACGTCAAATTCTCGCCATCTTTTAAAATAACTGTCAGTGTTTTATAAATGTCTGAAGAACAGAGAACTGTCATAATTTCACTATAAAGAAAATAATTAATGAAAAGCTTTTAAACAAATGAAAGAGGTATAAGGAGGCACGGCGATAAACTGAGAACCAACGGCGCGATTTTATCCCGCGCCCTTCGCTGTTGCGGGCAGTCTGTGTAGAATACACATAGAGGTATATGTAAAAAAATAAAGCGATTTTATTTTTTACGCAAGTGCGACTACCGGGCAAGGGGTCTCGGGTTCGATTCCCGGGTCGGGCAAAGTATTACTGGGTTTTTTTTTTAAATCTCAGTAGTAGCACGTAGTCTGGAAATGTGCCCGGTATATGGCAATAGGTTAAATGGGACTCATAACATAAATAGTGAAAAGTGGGTGTTTATTTCTGTGTGCACCTCTGCCTACCCCTTCGGGGATAAAAGGCGTGATGTTATGTTAAAGCGATTTTTACGGCGTGTTTTACGCCCGCGGCGGTTGCGATGTTTACAACTCCCGCTGCACCGGCGGATGCGGCCGCGGTCCCGAAGCCGTGGCAGCTAGCACTCGCGCGCTCTGCAATCGGTTGGCGGGCGGGTTTATTTTTCAAGGAAAATCATCGATCGGCTTCTCCGACCTGAGAGTGTCAGACTATTACTGACTAAAAACCACCCCGTTCCTACTCCTGCACTTCGAGCCGGATCCCCGGCAACTCCGCGTAGATTAACTAGATTAATTTAGGACACTATGTATTTATAAGTACTTCAAGGACAAAGTCGTATACAGAATGAGTGTTTAACAAGCTAATATTAATTCTTTTATTACATGAAGTACATTAATTTGCATAACTAATATTAATTGACACCAATTAACAAATAAATTAATATGACACACTTATAATGCTAGTTCTAAGAGGTTTTAAGAGGTTTTTTTAATGGATTTATGTTAGTAAATTATAATCATTATTATCATCAACAGCTTATAAACGCCCACTGCTGACCAAATGTCTCTTCTCACATGGCAAAGGTTTGAGGATTAATCACCACGCTTGTTCAATGCGGGTTGACGATTTCAAACTTATACTTAGAAGTTATAAGCTCAGGTTTCCTCACGATGTTTTCCTTTACCGTTTGTCAGTGGTGTCTGAATAATCTTAGAAAGTATATATAACTCGGAAGTCACATTGGTACTTGCCGTTGGTTAATTCGAAGTAATGGTTAATAGCGTAAATGTAGGCAACTATTATGT